GATGGGCCGAATGGCCTCCTCTCGTTTGTATAGTTCTTATGTTCTTATGTAACCAGGGGTGATTTTCCTGAAGCCTTCTTAACGCTACGTCGTTCGTTAGTTCTATCTTTTAACACAGAACTTAAGAACGACGTAGCGTTAAGAACGCTTCGGGAAACTCACCCCAGGACTCTAAAAGCCCAGAACTGGCTACCACCAGCTTCAGAGATCAAAAAGTCTCCTGATATGGCTTAGAAAGCAGGTTTTCATGAGAGAAACTCTCAGAATAATGATCATGTCATGCAACATGAGGAATAAGCTATTTCAAGTCCTTTCATGTCCACTTTCTTGTAAAAAAAGGGTTTTCTAAGATTAAATGGCATCGGAGAACGCAGACCTCATAGCAAACAGCCTCGGGAAATCACACATATATAATTAGGGTTCCGGACAGCTCGCTAACAGGTGTCCTGCATGACAAACGGACCTGGAACACAGTCTGGAAAATGATATGGCCGTCACTCCATCTCAGGCACTGGAATGTCAAGGATTCACAGTGTGCAGAAACAGCTGGAGCAGACGTATTTTGCAGAAAAGAGAAATGAGTCAAAAAGGGAAATGCACAGAGCGAAGTGCTCGCTCTCCCTGTCATCATGGGTGCCTTCAAATGGCTGTGCTCATTTGCACCTCTCTGTGGTGTGACTCTCCAAAGGGTGAAGTGTGATTGCAGTAGGACACAAACAACTGCCCAGCAATGCCTGACTGGCACTGCCAGCTGCAGAGTCACCTTGACTCTCCCCTGGGCCATTAAGGAGTATGTCCCACACCAGGGTATGGGGGAGAAATGGACACTGAGATAGGTGGCTGGGTCCCAATCCACCGGCGAGGCTCAGTGCTTGAGACTCTGCTTGAAGACCACTGGAGGTTTGTTACGCCCTCATGAGGCTGGCAACCGCTGCTGAAAATTAAGCCTGACAGCGTGGATTCCAGACGCGCACTCTGATCTTCCTCTGGAAAGCCCCTGGAACCCCACCAGCACAGGCTGCCATTATCAGACCCCACCAGGTCAGTCTGATTGTAGACGCTTCCCCTTATGCTAAAGCGGAAGTCACAGGACCATTACTGTGAGCCTGCAGCTGCTTTCGCAACTGGGCTTTTAGACACGTGCAGGTTCAGCAGCTCTCAAGCAGGATCGGTGCCAAGGAACACCAACGCCCCTGGCTGGCCATTAACTGGGGGTACAGTATCTGGGGCTAATTTCATCAGCTCGGGGGGGGGGGGCACCTTAAAAACTTTGTTGTAAGTCAGGCTGCCTCTCAGATCACGCCGCACCATAAAACCCAAAGCTCATCTGGCGAGCAGGACATCAAAGAGTTTTGGCCAGAGTGGAGACGGGCCCCCGAGGTGCCGGAACGCGCTCGTAAGCAACTCCTGGCAGCCCCCATGGTGCGCTACTCGTGGCATGGGCTTACAAACCACAGATACTTATCCAGTAAACTTTGTTTGGTCTGAGACTATTCTGTCATATCATTATGCTCACACATTTAAAGGGAATACATGTATGGTGGAGCAGTGGTTAGCACTGTTGCCTCACTTGTCTGGGACCAAGGTTTGAGCCTCAGCCTTGGTTCTGCGTGTTTGGAGTTTGCGTGTTCTCCCCATCTTGTCATCATGGGGTTTTCTCTGGGTACTCCAGTTCCCCGCACAGTGCAAGAACATGCTGAGGTTAACTGGAGTCACTAAATTGCCAACGTGTGTGTGTGTTATTGTGGCCTGTGATGGGTTGATGCCCCATCCTGGGATGTTCCCTGCTTTACATCCATAGACTCTGGACCTGTGAAGCTGAATAAGACAAGTGGTTACAAAAAATGGATGGATAGAGGTACAGAATCTATGGAAAGAGTAAGTCTCCTTGGGATGGTCACTATAGAACATTATTGTGAAGCTGCTTTAGTCAAAGTAAAGAGGGCAAAAATGTGATTTAAATATTTACTAATAATGCCTATAGCATAAAAAAGTGGAATGTATTTAATAACTAAATATAAACACAAGATTTCATTTTATTCTACAAGCCTGTTACATTATTTTGTGATTTGCTAAATAGGTGGTGTGAAAATCCACATGAGGTTTTTCAATAATGTAGGTAAATCTTGTTAGTCTGGTAAAATGTCATGGGTGACCCATGCTAACATCCATACGCCTCTTATATGAATATTTTCACATATGAAAATTCTTTCCAGAAAGAAAATCAAAAAAGTAACTTTTAATGACAGCATTTCCAAAGAGTGACCATCCTCCAGGAGGGGGAGTGAAGCACAGGTATTGACTTTATTACAGCAAAAAGAAGATCCCAGGTATCAGCATCTGTCAGTCTCCACCATCTGAACAAACTCCCCGGCAAGGTCAGCAAATACTCAGCAACATAGCACATCAGACATTCAGTCGTTAATTACTGATCACAGAAACAGAAGCGTCCAGACGATGTGCCCTTCACGTGTTTGAGAACAGTAGGTGAGTAGAGGTTTTTTTTATGACAACAGGTGAGGCAGTACTTCAGCAAGAAAAAAGAAAGCATTGAGATCACACAAAATAGTGTAAAGCAGCATTTCCCAAACCCTAGTGGGCTGTTAGGGTATTGAAAGAGGGCCCACCAAATGATGCCACACATGGTTTGTAGGTGAACTAATGAGGCTTGACAGCAAGCACCAGAGTGGATCACTGGCTTTCAGCAGGATCTCTTAGACCAAAAGGGAAAAAAAACAGATGAAACCAATAAAGTGCAATTACAGACATTAAAATCGAAGGTTAGGAGAAAATGCAAATTAAAAAAACAGTTTTTTGACTACAGCATTGCAAGTATGCAAAGAAAGTTGATATTTGGTATTCAGATTTGACGTGTTCTCTTACTGGAATTTGTGTATATGTTAAAACTTAAGTATTTGTGTGGTTATATTTATTGTGGGCCACAACTCATTTTTGAATTCTAAAAGTGAGACATCATTTGATTTTTTTTTTTTATTTATTTTTATCACATTTGAAAACGGCTGGGAGGTCCTGATCTAGAGTTTGCTTCACTAAAAATTCTGGTCAGCAGCCGCCACTGCAGGTTTACACTGCATTTATTGTATTCTTTATTTTTGGTATATTAATTAAGCACTGGGAGAGTTGCGCCTTGGCATGAGAGTTTCCCTTAGAATAAATAAAATGTTATCTTATCTTGCCTGGTTTGCTTTCTGTACTTGCAATAACTGTTCATCTATAATTTAAACCACAGTGTGTTATTTATCCTAAAGGTACAAGTGTTTAGGATTTAGGGGTAAAAGATCAGCTCTGTTCGCAAAGCCATTTTGGAAATATATCCTCCGTAAATATATACTGTTTCTCATGTTTTACCTAGATCAATAAGTTTGAAAATATTGCAATTTTGCTGAGATAGCTTTAAGAAAGAAGCATTTCTTTAGGAAATCAATGTCTACATGCATGCATACAGTATGTGCTGCGGTAAATGATAATGCATAGTGGATAAACCGATTATGGTGTCAGTGAAATGAGTAAAACTTGTGAAGCATTGCGTCTTCACTTTGCTGCGGTGACAGACAGCGGTCGTAACTGAAACCCTAAACTGGTGGCAGGTCACAGTCCTCCTGGTCGGTGGGGTCCATACTCTCGATGCCAATGTGGCTCCTGATGAAGATGTCCCTCACAGCGGTGATGGTCTTTTCCGGCAGAGAGCGGGTCCGGCCCAGGATCCAGGCATATTCCACGTGGAAGATCCGCAGCACGTCGAAGCAGGAGTACACGGCTGCTGAGGTCTCATAGTCAGTGGACAGGATCCAGTATGCACTGTAAGGTGTGACTGGGGGTCAGGGGGAATTCAGATGAGCATTCATGTTGTTACATTCTCAGCTGACACATAGTAACTTTACACTGTTTATGGTCCAGATTATGAATTAGCTCTCAGAGTAGCCTACTGAATGCTTGGAATTCAATCTGCTACCGGTTCAGGTTGCAGGAGATACCCGATATATTTGTCCATGAATACTGTACCTAAGAACTGAGTACTCTACTTAAAAAATGAGTAATGTACTTTGTACCTCTCAAGTTAAATGTGCAGTAGGGATGGATTAAGTTATCTGGGACCTGAGGCTGGCATCAACATGGACATTCAGCATGGACACTCAGTTGTTGCCAAATTAATTAACCATACTGTTTTTCCCGAGGTGGGTGAGGCCCTGATTGCCTAAAGTAGCCTATGTATTGATCCACCCTTGACTCTATGAGCTGGGTGAAAAAATGTAAGGCTTGGTATAACCTTTAAAAAAAAAATAAAATCCAAGCTCCGAAAGCAAAAACAACAATAAGCATCTCTGACACACACTGGCAGGAAGCACAATGGTGAAAGAGCATCTTATGGGCAGAGCAGTAAATCACTGTGGTAACATGGCGGCCTAGCACTCACAGAAAGAAAAGCTCACTCCCAGCTTGGCAGGCTGGTTCACATCCTGGACCACAGCTGTGCCTTCAACGGACTTCAGTTTTCCTTTCCTGGGGGGGTCAGAGAAAATTAGAGGAATGACAGCATGCCTCAACTGATACAAGTAGCGTCTGTTGTTCTCTGTGCGTCGGTTACTGCCTCGTCTTTGTTGCTCGGCTGCAGCCCTCTGGACTCTTTGTTCTGGAAACAGTGCTGAATGTCTGAACGTAAACAATGGAGGCAGTTTCTGAGGTGTGACTCCTCCCCCGGCGACCCGCCCGACACTCACAACTGTTCTGTGTTGACCACCTTGATGGTGCCGTCCTCCCGCATAGAGTAGTTGGTCTCCATGCACTTGCCTCTTTCGAAGGAGGAGGGCAGCTTCTCAATCTCATACCATCTTCCCAGGTACTGCCATGGCCATTTGAAGACAGAAAACACACAATTAAGAGGAATGACATGCTGTTGTAGCAGTGCGCGGTTCACCTGGTATAGAAGCAGTGAGAAGTGGCCTCTAGTGACCTCTACAGGCTGTTTATGGTTTCATTTAACATACTGTCTCCTCTTGGCACCACACTGTCCATCTTTGACAGGTGTTCATAGTCCTCAGGGGCAGATTAACCTACTGTATCTGAGGGCTCTAGGATGACATCAGCATGGACACTTAGGTGTTAACGATTTAACTAACCGTTTCATATATCCCGAGGTGGGGTGAGGCCCTGATGATTGCTGAGGCCCTAGTCCACCCAATTAGAAAATAATAATCATTTATATAATATGAAGAATAATTTACACGACTGTATTGCATGGTTTGAATATCTGCCCTATCGTTTCATACAATTACAGATTCAGCAGCAGGTGCTGAGCACTCTCTTCTGGTATCTTTACACAAAAGCTTTATGCCTTTTTTTGCTTTATTGAATTGATTTGGAAGGTTTTTTATCCTTCAGGTTAAGGCCTATGACCACACCGCATGCTTGGGTGCAAGTAGTGAAATATCTTTTTGGCCTTTTAGATTGGCTGGTAAACTGTCCTGTGAAGTGGTTAATCCTGGGAGGATTGTGGCTGGCTGGCAGTGAGGTACCGGGTAATGTGTAAACTCTACCGTGTGTCCCAGCTGAGCAGTCACAGTTAGCGGATGATACCTTTTGGAGTTCGAAGTTTGGCTGGACCTCTGGCTGTGGGCAAGGGCCCCAGTGGTAGACCTGCCCCCCTGCCAGGGGGAGGAGCAGGGGCAGCAGGATGATAAAGCGGGCCTTCATTCTCACTGAGTGGCTGTGGCGGTGCTGGGGAAATGATCAGCACGGTTTACAATAGGAGACAAGTTGGCAAAAGCTAAATAAAAGCAGGACTGACACTGCATGTCTTTCCACATCCTCCCATCTACACAACTAATGCCATCAATGTCTGGGAGGAGTAACGACAAGCTCATGAATATTAATGTAAACACCTGCTGTTGTAAAATGGACATGTTCAGCATCAGGAACTCAGTTCACCCAGAAAGTGGCTCTCTGTTTGGCCACTGTACGGTTTGAAAAGCAGTATTGTAAATGGCTACTCTGAGGTTCACCACACGTAATGCGGTGCCAGGTTACTAGAAGCAGGTACAGAAAGACTAGTTTTGGATTATAAAAAAATGCAGTGAATGTGTAATGTATTTAAAAACTATCTTAGGGTCAACAGACACATGATCTTTGTTCCTATTATGTATGCTGTAGTCTCTTAGTGTTTGCACCATATTTTACATCAGTTGACCATTCTTTGTTTTTGCACTATCGGTCTGTTTATTCATAAACTCTTAACTAGACTTCAACCCCAGCCTTCAGGTTGATAAGTTTGATAACTTGATAAGTTGTCTTGTAATGTTTAAATGTAAGGCTCAACTCAAATCTGCCATCTGAACCTCACCCTCGCTCCCTTGTTTTGTCTCACTCCCAGGGGCACTGACAGCTGCACCTCATTCCAGTGATTACCTAATGTCATATAACCACCCTATGCAGTCTGCTCAGTGCGAGGAATTGACTCATGCATCATTACCAAGGGTCTACTACCTCCCCGGGTTTCTGCAGAGTCCCGTGTGTTGGCTTTTCCCGCCCCCTGCCCGGTGATGTTTCCTAACCCTGCTGCCAGTACATATGCGTTTCTCTGCTTTCCCATGTTGGCCCGAGTGCCTGTCTTTCCTGGCATCCCAAAGACAGACCTTTTAGCTGACTGATCCTGGACCGTACCTACAACTTCGACTCCTGTCTCTCATTTTTGACTTTTTTTTGCTGTGCATCTGGATATATGATCCCAGGGGTTTTTGGAACTGAACAAATCCTGGTTCTCATTAGCATTAAGTCACACTGGCATCTACAACTAAAGTTTTATAGTAATAATCTTCAAACACATTCCTAATATATATTCTTATAAACAGGAGAAACATTAAGGTGTGTGTGTATATGTATTCATACACACACAGACCTGTACTAACATCTTTGTGGGGACCGTGAATTCATTTCTATGGGCAAAACCCTAATCCCAACAATGACAACCATAACCAAACAAAATATATCTCTTTTGCCATTTTTAGTTTTTTATTGCAGTCATTGATTTTTATAAAATAGAATTTTCCCTTGTGAGGACAGAAAAAATGGTCAGCACAACGTCAGAATAACATTTTTTTTTTATTATTATTACATTTGATCCCCACAATGTAATAGGCCTATTTGTCCCCCACACACGTTCTTAGGTCTGTGTACATTGACTCAAGTAACTGTTCTCTGCCTGCGTTGCTGAGTTGTTAAGCATTACATATAGAACTAATTCGCCTACCAAATGACAATCAGAAACCCAAAAAACGTTTTTCAGATATGATGCGACCTGCTACACCATTGACGATGTGCTGCAGTGCGTGGATGATACTCTTACCTCAGTGCAGCTTGGATCCCGACTGATGCTTACAGCTTCGTTTGGGCCACCGGATGCTTCAATCTTGTCGGAAGCCTGTGCAGACTGACTAGGCGCTGGGTCGTACCTCCTCCTGAGCTGATGCGACTTATTAGTCTAATTGAAATCATGAGACATTCCGCCGTCAACCATACAAACAGCATTTCCCTTTGTATATCTGCATGAATGCTGCATTGTTTCTGCGCCTTGCTCACTTTTTCCTTTTTTAAAAGGTCGGTTTTTTACACAGTACAAATAAACAATTATACGAGCGTAGCCTCGTATGCAATCCGCTCTAAATAATAGAGTAGGTTAAACCCCAAAAATAAGCCTTTATTAACCGCTCCAATTTTAAAGTCGCGTTTAGGTTAAATGTTGAATGTACGCGACAATACCATCTTCGATGTATAAATTACCATTTAGACTTGTGACCTATTAAGTCACTAGTTCCCTTCCTGTTCATGAATAATTTGTCATTTTTCCAATAAATGTGACCACCTTTGTCATTATGTTATCATATTTATACGTCTCAAGACGATCTTTGGTAGCTTAAATGGAAACGAAGCAAGGCCGGGGGGTTGAATCCTGCCCATGTGTGTATATGGAGGATTATGTCTGTATGCTGCCCCAGCGCAGCACACGTTTCCTCCTACACGCCAAAGATACGCAGCTATGCAACCTGGACGTGCCCTGCGACTGACAGCTATGCAATCACGTGCCCTGCCACTGACAGGACTACCGCCTCGTGGCGCGGCGCTGCCTGGGGTATGCTGGGTAAGTTGCTGCAAGATGGACAGTCTCCTGTTTTTCGGTGATGGATCGAAAATTTAACACACATCTTACATTGAACTAACTGAATGACTGCTGTAAACTTCATATCCATCTTTATGGCAAAAAATCCACTAAGAATGGAAAAATTATTAAGAATTGCTATGTGAGAAGAGAGTGAACATCGCGCAATAGACGAAGAACAACAGTTATGAACCATTTTAATTTTCAGTGTAAGTGTCTGACGAAATTTTAAATATAAAGGTCGGTAATAACATCTGTTTTACGTTTGGGTGTTAAATACAAAGCGATGGTGGGAAAGGGAGCAACTTTCTGAGGTAAATCTCAATTTTCTTCGCTAATACAGACGCTAGCTCAGGGATAGTCGGGGGGGGGGGGGCGTTTAACGTAAATAATTACGGCACTGGACTCAAAATCCATGCTACAGAAAAGCTTCGCTTTCCCCGTAAATTCGCGCCGACTGTACCTGCGCGGGTGTGACGTCTAGAGAGCAGACAAGAGGCAGACCCCGTAGTGCAGGAGACAGGTTGTTTACTTCTATAACCGGGTATTACAGAAGCCAAGTACACAAGACAATATCGTGGTCGGGTCGGAAGCGGGGAGTCATAAGCCGGGGGAATCAGCCCAACGAGCAGGCGCAGGACAGGACAACAAGAGGGGAGGACGATCAGTGGAGACGGGTCGGGATCGCAGGAGCAGGCGGGCAGGCGGGGCAGACGGGAGCGGGCAGGCGGGTAGGACAAGCAGGAGAGACGCAGGAGGCAGGGATGAGAGGAGAGACAATAGACAGAGAAACGCTCAGTATGGCACATAAATATGGCAACAATACTTCGCAACGTCTGTTGCGTGCGATCTGCTTAAATAAACCGGGGCAATTAGCGGTGATCCCCTGTGGTGGTGCGTCCCGCCCCCATGGGCGTGACAGCGGGCAGCAATACAACAATCCACCGATACCCCGGAGTGCTGCCAAAATCTTGTGTGCATGCGCTGACATCTATTATGTCGTAATAAACCGGTGCTTCTGCCAGAACATGCACTGTATTTGTATGTAATTATATTGTGAGAAAAACTGTGTTGTTTTTAATTGCTATATAAATTTTAAAAACCAGAGGATAATATTAAATAAATACAAATCATATATACACAATTTGTGAAGTTCAATTTACTACATATGCAAATACTAGCTACATTTTTAGTTATATTTCCAGTAATATGTATTCTGCTTGTACCAGTTGCTTCTTTTGATTAGTTTCTCATTTTCTTTCTCCCATGAAGCATGGAGAAGGACATTGTGACTGAGGAGCTGGTTCACTCCAGGTCCTGGCTGAATGAGGTGAACGCGGAGCTTCAGAAGTCTGTGGACCTTGCTGAGGTCAACATCACAACTTTGCGCTCAGAGATGGGCTTCCTGCGTAGTCAAGTCAAGAGGTGGGGCTTATCCTGGTGCAGTGACTGGGGGAGCTGCCCTATTACACAGGAAATGTGCCAGTGTTAAATTAACACTGCATGGTGTCTATATGTGACCACACCATTCAGTGTTACCTTTAACACTTTTCAGTGTGCAGTGAGTGTTGTTTTTACAGTGTTAATATTTATTAACTCTTATAGTGTTCAATTTACAACCTAGAGTGTTAGGACAACGTGTCTCCACCTCTTCCCAAATTGCAAGCCCATATGGGTGGCACACAAGTACAAAATGGGTGGCCCATATCTGCCCTATTTTAATGTGCACTCATTTGAACTCATTTGGGCATTCAGCTGCTGTGTTTTACTAACCCACCATAATAAGAAAGACTTAGACCAATATAGCCTTTTTTCTTTTTATGCAAGTTTTATTTCAGTTCAGCTCATAATAATCAAAAAACTGTGCTGAGAATCTTCTGTGGTGTGAAAGTGATTGAAATGTAAGGCACCAAGCATAGATTATGAAGCTAGATTCTGTTAGACTGCATCACATAATTATTTAGAAGGGCTGAAGGAGTGTATTCCCGCTAAAGCAGATATAATGGATGGTGGCCTCATTGGTTTTAGACCGCAACTTGTGATAGAACAAATCAAATCACTTTGCTCATTTAATATTAAGATTTTCATTAAGCTTAATTTTTAGAAACCCACCACGATCGAGGCTGGTATGGCACTGATATTAGTCTTTACCACATTTCATTATCTGTGTTTTTGAGTTGCCTTTTGTATGTTAATTGATGTGGGCAGTGTAGTTCTTATATATGTGCATCCCTGTAGTAATCTTAATTGTAAAGATACAGAAGATCCAAATGATCTTCCTGGGAAGAGCAGACTTATAAAAGAAACAAAATGAGTGGTTTTCCATAGTATTTTCCTCCCAGCCAATGCCTTCTCTCGTCAAACCATAGAGGCTAAACCACCCCACCGGGTCCTTAGCTGGAACGCAACAGCCATTTCGGTGGTTTTTGTTCTCTTGCCTTATTCATCACAATCACGGTGGATAAAAAAAAAATCTATTAAGTCAAAAACAGTACAGTGTTATGCTATGCAAATATACATCCAGCACCATTGGTCTACAGGGGAGTGGGTGGTACCAGGAGCTGCACGGAAAAGGGTAGCACAACTGTCCTGACACTTTTCCACATACGTTAATCATCCAAAGGCAGGACTGGCAGACAAACATACTCCCACACCATTAATATAAATACACCAATCTGGAGACACGGCCTGTACATCTCCAAGAGTTTTTGCTGTGATGCAGCAACAACAACATTCTCCCAGCTCTCTAATATTCAAGATTTGTCAGAACCCAGCCAGCAAAACTTTAATGCAAAACAAGAAAAAGCTGTAAGGTCCTGTTTGGTCAGAGTCTTGACCAAATCTCATGATGGTGGGTAAATCTGGGATGGCTCTTCAGATCCTCATGATGTCTTGTTCGCATATTAAAATGGGGCAGATATGGGGAGGTGGAGACTCTTTGACAACACTCTATGTTGTAAATTGAACACTATAAGAGTTAATAAATATGAACACTTTAAAAACAACACTCACTGCACACTGAAAAGTGTTAAAGGTAACACTGAATGGTGTGGTCACATATAGACACCATGCAGTGTTAATTTAACACTGGCACATTTGCTGTGTAGGTCATGTGACAGTTGATTTCTATCACTCAGCATGGAGTGGTCTGTCACAGAGGCGGAGGAGCTAACAGAGGAGCTGGAGGAGGCGCGGGCCCACCTGGCTGAGCAAGGAGTAGCTAACTCCACCCTGCAGATGACTATCAGACGGCTGGTAGGTGGTGGGAAGCTCCTGGGGCAACCGTAGGGGGCTTGGTTCTGAATGCAGATCTGAACTGTGGGGCAGCTCTTCTGTAGCAGTCCTCATATCTCCATCATTCACTGTTTCTGTCACTTCATGGCAGGAGAAGGAAAACGTATCTCTGAAAGAGCACATTGAATCTGTCACTGCCAAGGTATGGGCGTCTACTTTGAAATGGCACCCTCCTGTCGTGGCTTATTCTAACCTCGACTAAACCGGAGTGACGTGACGTTACACGCTGCAGATGGCCTGCATGCTTCCGCAGACAGAGATGGACAAGGAGCGGATCGCCAGTCTCCGAGGTGACCTGCAATTGCTGCAGGTAGACGGCTTGGCTTTGGGACATCTGGACGGCGTGATTCAGAGTCCTTTTTCCCAGTTGATGCCTCTAATGCCGCGTTGCTTTTCCAGGACCAGATGGATGAGATGAGACTGGCTCTTCTCGTCAAAGAGGAGCTCATTCAGAAGGTTTGTTTATGAATCATGTGCAGATCACTTATGCTTTTAAACTGCAGTGCTGGCAGTGTACCTGACCTTCATACGCATATAAATGATGAGCATTTTTATTATAGGAAGCGTGCAGTAACACTATTTCTGGTGTGTTTTATCCAGAAAGATTTTATGATTGAGGAGCTGGAGAGTTCGCTGGATGAATACTCCATAATAGCACAGGTACTGAGCACAGCACTCATACTCCAGCTGGCAGAAGATGAAAGCCGTCTTGAGGTGGGTCGTGATCTCTGTTCGCTTCATTTTTTTCTGGAGGATCTCAAAGAGAAGATCAGGGAGCTTAAGCAGCATCAGGAGGAGGCTGTGATGTATGAGATGCCGGTGGATCCTACGGAGTATTTTTAACCAGAATCATTAGTGCACATGCAGGCCGGACATTAATTCAGATGCGGGAGTTAAGATCATGGTCACATATGTAAGGCTTACAGATGAGAGGCACTTTGCAAAGTGCAGTACAGACACAGCAGGTCAGTGGATTCACACTTTCGGAATGCTGGGAAACACTAACGGACATCCCCATGGTTTCTGTCTCACAGCAGCTCTAGCAGTGGTGCCTTTCAGCCCTTCAATGGCACATTCTCTCCTCCCACCGCACCCTGTGTCTGCCTGAGCCATGAGCTGAGGCTGCAGTTGCCCCAGGTTTGTTCGTGTGTCTGTGTGTGTGAGCGCACCCTGTCTGTGGTGCAGGAAGGACACCCGGGTATCACCCCATAGGACACAGCTTGTCCAATCCAAAAGCCACCTTGCACAAGTCATTTAGGGAATATTGGTTTGTATTCTTGACAGACACCTTTACCTGAAGCGTTTCATGAAACGCCATCCGATCCCCAGGAAGAGACTGACTCCGAGGAGCTGGAGAGGGAGACCCCAGAGAAAACTGCTCCCCCTGAGCCCCTTTTGAAGAGGTAAGCTCATTTTTTCTGGGGGGGGCAGCACACGTGTGGCGTGAACATCGTTTTCAAGCTTGTACCGGCCCCTCCCTCCCCTCCGCCCTGTATCAGGCAGGAGGTGCCCTGCTGGAGGTGGCCATTGCAAGCAGTGGCTGCTGTGGCCCTGGGCCTTATCTCTCTGGGGATGATCACCATCACAATGCCTGGTTGCCTGGACTGCCTGGTGACAAGCTGCTCCAATGGCCTGCGAGCCATGGGCCAATTCATCCTCCAGCCTCACTGCTCCCTCCACCACACAGACCTTCCCCCCATCTAGAGAGCTTTCTTCACCTCAAACATCATGCATTAATAAAAGCAAAGGTGGCCTAGCTTCTGCCTGCTTTGTCTCTTTACAGTTTTAGAATAGAATATATTTATTGTCATCTTACATATTCGAAAAAACAGTTTGCTTCTCACAAACAGTGAGAATAGTGATTATTGCTCCTGGTGGAGAAATTGTGCAAAATTGAGAGGGGCTTCCTGCATAGTAATTATAAATAAGATAAAAATCAGGGGGGAAAATGGAAAAATATATAAACATAATATATAAATAGGTCAGGTGAGGTTAGGGAGAGTGCGGTGGTACAGCACGTTACACACACCCACCTGGCTGACACAAGGTCCAGTCCCTCCCTCCGCAAATGGGGGCGAGGGGTGCATGGGCGTAAATTTCATTTAACAGTAGGGGGGGACAATAAATATAAAATTTCTCATGAGCAATTTTTGAAGGGGACACAAATAATACAGTCAAAATGTACTTATAAAGATATGTCCCCACAATGAAAAACTTTGCTTCTATCATTATTATTGTAGCATGGAGACTGCGTCATTATGGTTATTTTCAATGTTTTTCTCATGTCCAATGACAAAGCATATTTTTCTTCAAAGCTATTTATTGCATTGTTTGTTATGTTGTTTACAGTCAAGCCATCAACATACAATAAAATTTAAACGACTGTTTAAATGCATAATACAAATTGATTATACAAAAAAAATACAGTGGGGTCAGTTCGGACGTAGCACAGTGCTCATTTAGTAAATGCACAGCTAAACAATATGCTAATTGTGGCCGTTAATATTAAGTTAACATTATGCCAAGTCGTCACAAATAAAACAATGCATGGCAAACGGCTTTGGCGTGTTAGTTGAAGTGCACTATGCAACAAGCTATTGTAAACAAGCTAACGTTAACTAGATAAGTAATATTTTAATCACTAATACAGCAGATTCATGGAAAATTACATCGGTAATCAGCATTTTTGCCGCAACTAATTTATAAATGAGTCTGCATCAACTATATTAAAGAGAATCGCTTTATTTAAAGTGAATAAAATACCCTACTTACTGCAGTTTAACATTAATTCAGCCTGATTCGTGTGTGTAGATTAGGTTAGATGAACTGGGAAAGCAGGCAGTTGGCCAAACCACTGTGAGGAAGGGGAGGGGGAACTCAACTGTTTCTAAATGCATTTTTTGCGTTTGTTTTTTTTTTCTACTTACAGAATTATTTTAGGTATACATACATATATTTTTCACAATAGATAGTGCGATTTTTTTTTTTGTATTTTTTTTGGGGGGGACAACCCTCGGATAGGGGGAGACATGTCCCCTCCGTCCCCCCCCGGGATTTACGCCCATGGAGGGGTGTCGCATGTTCAGGGTGCTTTTACCGGCTAGCGACGTGCCACTGGTGTCAGTACGGGGGGAGCAGATCGCATCGAGTGACATTGGGGGGGTTACACCAAAATAAACATGTGTAAGAAACCGATGATTGTGCGTAATTTCTGCGAACACCATCTTCACTTTGAACGTCCAGTAATTCGTATAAAGGTTAAATATCTGTACGTACTTACTTGTGGATCCTTTTAACGCGCTCCGGTCATTATTACCCAGTGATACTTGCGCTACGATTCACGGGATTTCGTATGCAAGCATGTGCTATTGGTTGCTGCAGTCGTTTCGCAGTTTTTATCAAAATGTCTGGTGTTTTTTTAGATACAAAATTACGGTAATTAGTATTATTGTACCTATATCAGTATTTGACAATATTTGACAGTATTTGAGAATGAAGTTGTAAATAAAGGAAAAGACAAAAAATAATTAAAAAGAGACTACGGTGTTAGCCTATCAATTGAAGGTTAGTTGGCACAAGGCATTGATTTTGATGAAGTGATTCGCAGGTTTGAAGGCTAGGAGAGGAATCTGCATGGTTTTAGTCCAGCTAAGTGCTGAAATATTTATGTATTTGTTCCTGTTTATTTTTTCACTGTATTATTTCATTTATGAATAAATTTCCACATGCATTTGTTTCTAATTTCTGAATTATTTGGGTCGCTATTAATTATGCACCCTTGCCTTGTGTAAACAAATGAAAACGACGCAAAAAAAACATTAACCGGTATTCTGACAAAACGTCCTACCGTAGTGCTAATCGATAGCCCTAACCCTAACTCTTACCCTAACCCTAACCCCCCAAAAACCCCTAAAACTCTTACCTTAACCCTAACCCCTAAAACCTAACCCTAATCCCAAAACGGTGGAACTGCACATGCGCAGAAAGGCTCGATAGCACGTCTCGATAGGTATACAATGCTTCAGAATACAGGAAATGCTGCGATGATCAGGTGTTAAACACGTTTCAGAGAATACGAAAGAGAAGACATTTTTACGAAACCCAGCAAAGCCGCTAAAATTAATGGAAACCTGATCTTGAGAAATACGTACTCAGCTGTAACATTACGGAATGTTCCGTGGTATTATATGTTAAATCAACACATGGCGTAAGGGCAAGGGTTTGAGTGACCACTAGGTGGCACCAACCGTGACTTCTTGTTACAACCCTATTCAAAATTAGCCTGTCTACAGACTTTAACGCATTGACATTATTGTAAAAGTTTGTCGTTAGGCTGCATTTTGGTACCATTAAGTTTAACGATTCTTGCTACCTTCGAAATTTTTAAGAAGTTTCCCATGCCAGATGCGTGAATGTTTAGAAAGTACACACGTTTAGTTTTTGTTATAATAATTGTAGATTAAATCCAATAGAAAACAGAATTTTATGGTGACAAAATTATTTAAACCTTTAGCAGTATAGAGGTAATAAAAACAGATATTTTAAATATTTTAGTCCCAAGATGACGGTAAATCGCCACGCTTCAGAAAACTTATTAGAGGTGAAGGACTTTTATGCTAGTCAATTAATTTTGTATTTTGATTTAAATTTTGCATATTCCTTTCCAGTTATAAACATTTTTCTTTTCATAAACTGCTTCTGACCTCCAAGGTCACAAAACTAAATCTCACATCAGCTCCAGGCAACAGCTGCAGGCTCACACAGCATTTACAAAGGACACAGGTTACATTTGAAAGGCAACAACAAATAAAAAGTATGATTACAAGCCAAGTCATTGGGGAGCCAGTTTGGTTGTCCACCTGTAGTTTTGTAGGGTTATTGCCGACATTGTTGTCAGGGTGCAGAATAAACAGATGAAATCCCTCAGAGCAAAGCAGACAGGCGTCGGCAACAAATACTGACAAGCGAAAAACACAGCAAGGCTGCATGAGGCGAGTTTCACAGCTGTCTGCCATAGCGACATGGGGATGGGGGAGACTCACGTCTCTGCCGCAGGTGTACAGATCTTAAGTTTTTTTATGTGTATCTATACACATACACTTTAAATAAAGAGGAAAAGCCCTATTAAGACCCCTGATACCTGATGCGATAAACTAGCATAGCTCCTGCAAAATATATTTAAGCAACATAAGATTCAATTTTTACATTGTCAGATATCCCCTATATCCGGGATACACTGTCAGAAAAAAAATACCAGTTTGTACCTTTGAGGGTATAATTACTTGTCAATGGGGCTGCACCCTCAAGGGTCTCCCAGCTGTACCTTAGCTAGGGTTTGCCAGCTCCATAAAATCCTGGACACCCAGTCACTAACCAAAATGTCTGTACAAAGCGACACCATTGCAAAGGTTTGCTTAGGTCTGTTTAATTGGGAAACTGATTGGCACATTCCGTGTCCCGGAATAAAGGTGTTTTTTCCAGGACAGGCGACCAAAATCCAGCATGGAAAAGCCTGGGTGGGTGGCAACCCCTAGCTGTAGGTAAATACACACATGCAGTGGCTTCCTGTAATTCATTCTTAGTTCCCTTTAATATCTATTTGTCTGTAACCATAAGTGATGTTTTTTGTGAATCATGTGATCCCTTAGTCCTCGCATATATGTTTACGTCACTTTGTTAAAAAACACACGTTTGAAGCAGTTTGAAAGTTTATTATTAATTAACTGCTGTGGACGAAGGAGGTGAAAAGTATGCTTGGTGCATTCACTATACTGACAGTGCAAGGGGCATTTTTATTAGTTGCTTAATATGGTTTGTATTGTGCTGATAAGTTCAAATTATGTCAATACGGATCTGTAAGCAGGGTTGTCATCGCTTGTCAACTGGCTGGCGTGAGATTTTCAATCTGTGCACACATTTGCATGTGTGTAATAGTTCTATTGTCTTGTAAATACTGTCTGGGGTTTGCAAACTACTCAAACACTTTTGATGTAGATAAAATTAGGTTTATAATGGAATAATATAGATTTCTTGCGTGGGCGTGATAATCTGAAAGTGTGACTGTCACGCCAGATGTGCAACAGTTGGCAACCCAGCTCTAAGTTGAGTAGAATCTAATTAAACAAATGCAAGCTGTCTATAAGATGCTAAGCTTCTGGATAAGTAAGCTGATGATTACGGTTTCAGTAGATAATGCAGGCAGATATTAATACTCATGTCACGCGTATAAAATCCACAACAGAGAATCAGCTGAGTTGTACAAGGTTACTGTGAATCAAATGAAAAGGTTTTCTAAAACATTCCTTCTACAATTTCAACAAAACAGCCACTTTTATGGGTCATTTTCCATGAGTTCATTTGATTGTTTGGGCCCTTGTTCAACCGGTAACCCTTAGAAATCTGAAAAAGGAGACAAAATGACATCATCTTCACATATTATATTGAATATAAGTTTATTTAATTTCTATCTCAAAATCACATGGCTGGATGGATGTAGAAAAACATCCTTTAATAATACAGTGGTACCTCAGTTCTCGAACTCATTATAACTCTAATTTCTTAAAAGTCGAACCAACCAGTTCGAAAAAAAATTACCTAGAGCTCGATCTGAATCTCAGAAGTCAAACCATGAACGCCGACCTAAGATAACTTGCACCCACGGGGAAATGAGTCACGCGGCTCGTCTCTCAGCGGAAACAAAGGGTAAAGCTTCAGTCTCAGCCTCGCATTATCTGTGATAGCACCGTGCATGTTTACACTAACTGAATACATATATTTAGACAGTAAAAATACATTTAGACAATGATAGACAGTAACAGTAATTATTATTATATAATAAAATGCATTTTAAAAATAAAGATTTCTTATTCATTATTTTAATATTAAAAATAAACCATTAATTCGTTTAATTATAATAATATTGTTGTGCCGAGCAGGGACGGAACAGAGACAAAGGCGCAGACGTCAGGGTATCAGGGAATATGGGGTTTAATTACAGGTAAGGCAGGCAAAACGCAGACGGACAATACAATGACCGGACTGGGGAAACAAACTGAAACGCAGACAAAATACAGAGGACTAATGACAACAACCAGAAACAGCTGATCACACGGGGATTCCACATGGGGTTAATGAGGGAGGACACGGAAGGAGCGGACGATCGGGGCAGGACACATTGTTTGGATACATTTATTTTCTTACTTTACAAATTACTGTTTTGATAAATGTGCTTAGATATGTTTAGTACAGTATATGCTCTTCTTGTTTTATCCAGTACATTTTGTGTTTAAATGCTAAAAAAACATATTTAGGTGTAATTTTTTGGGGCCGGGAACCAATTAATTGGTTTTCCGTTATTTCTTATGGGGAAAATTCGATCAGAACTCAAACTTTTTAGGATTCGATTCGGAGTTCTGAACGGATTAAATTCGGGTTCTGAGGTACCACTGTAATAGTAACAATAATAGTAATAATAATAATAATAATAATATATTACTGGTATGAATTCTGCATATAACTCACATTATGTCTAATGTCATATGTAAAATTAACAGCAAATTTCACCGCATTCCAGATAAACACACTGTCCAGTTTTAAATCAAAAATAGGTTGAGAAGCTGTAAAATGATAGCTGTGGTGCCCTGTGGCATTGACTAGTACAGCTGGATCGACTGGGGGACGTTACCTTTGATTTTCTTGGCAACCCAGAGAGCTTTTGGGTTGGAGCAAAATCTTCCCTTATTTGTCTGAAACCTAAAGCAGAAGATCAGAGGAAGTTAGGAAACCCTGTACACTCTGTTTTGGAGGAAGCAGTGCTGTAACCTATAAGGGACAGACAGTGTATGGCTCCATTGTACCACTGGACCATGTCACCACCAATTTTATGGAAGATACATATAAAAATATATGTAAAAATTGCACTGTTAATTTATTATTGCACTTAATATGGCAAAAGTGTTTGACTGAAGGAATCTGTCATCTGATCAACTATTATCAATGTGGCACCTCCTAAAATGTGGTGGTAAACATAAAATGCTTTATTTGCCACATGCACAAGTATGAGTAGCTTGGAATGCTTCTCTTAGCCTACCCCAGCTTGCGCTCCATGGCTTGGGGGGTCAGGGGCAGGGGTCACGGCACAGGGTCAGCCAACATGCTACACCCCTGGAGCTGGGGGTTAAGGGCTCACAGTCATGTGACTGTTATGCTGAGGCTGGGGCTTGAACCAGCAACCTTCTTATCACAGGCACAGAGGCTCACAAAGGGGGAGAAGACAGGAATACAATGCAGCAAGTAGGGAACCTTCACTGGATGCTCAACACCAAAACATAAGACCCCCAATTGATTTTCAATGTTTTTCTAATTATAGTCAAAACAATCTATGCTGAACTGACATTTGAAGACAGTCAGCAGGGAGTTCTCAACCTTTTCATATCCAAGGACCCTCATGTCCGAAAACATGTTTGGGCCCCCCTACACAGGTTAAGATATTGTTTCTCTTGTATGTGTACTGCAGTAATAACAACAATTGCTAATGTTTATTAATACAAATATATTATCCAACGCTATTTTTTCCTCAGGTAATGACACTGCTCTGAATGTTTATGAACAAAAAGAATTAAATCAAAGACCTATCTGTAAAATCATAAAACTGATAACCATTAAATGTGCGCTTAATAACTGAACAGACCCTCACTTTAAGGTATTAGCCTTCAACAAAATAAAACATATACTATAAATTACAATATTTTAAATTAAAATGAAATGAACCATGTAACAATGATCACTTTCCCCTCCACCACCTTCCCTGTGAGACACCGCTACCTGAATGGTGTGATACTAGCTGTGAATTTTGGGATTCTGTGCAATTTCACAACCAAAGCTCTCAATAATATACGACCATAGACTCTCAGACCCGCAACTCTCAGACCCGCCGCACTCAGTCCTGCAACTCTCAGACCCGCCGCACTCAGTCCTGCAACTCTCAGACCCGCCGCTGTCAGACCCACCGCACTCAGTCCTGCAACTCTCAGACCCGCCACACTCAGTCCTGCAACTCTCAGACCCGCCGCTGTCAGACCCACCGCTCTCAGACCCGCCACACTCAGGTCCACCACATACAGGCCCTTTCCGCTTGAGTTGACATACGTGTAAAGAACAAAGAAATATGTATTTTGTTGGTTTAACCAAGTGTAGTTTATATGTTTAACGCAGTGGTGTCCTTAGGCCTATTTTAGACCCCCCCCCCCATAAATGTGTGTTTATTCCCTCAAGTCATGAATAGTTTACCATCAGTCCTCCTCCCCCCAGTAAAGACTCAGCTCCCCTATCCATTCATGTTTAACTACGCCCCTGATTTAACTTTTTTTTTTTTTTAAATTTCCAACGCATATATTTGTGCAGAATCTATGTTTCAGGATTGTCAATCTATTCTAAACTAAACGTGTAATACCTCAAGTTTTTTTTCTGTTTAAACGTTTGCTGTTTTGGTATAAAAATTCACACAACAAAAACACAAACTGCATACTTATTGATATCAGCAGTTATGTACAATTGCCTATATATTTGTAGATCACTATAAATACAAAACGTAAAGTATAACACTACAAAACATCATTCATTCTGGATACATGAAATACATTTACATAAGTACTGAAATACTACTGAAGCAATATGGTTACGTGATCATTTTATTATTTTATTTAATTGTCGTTTGCGCATGCGGCATCCTAAAAGTGGCAAGGCTGGAGAATGGCGAATTGTTCCGCGCATGCGTGAACCTGAAGGACGGCTGCAGCCGGACTGTACTGGAAGCTCTCGCATTGTTTACAATCAGAAAGGGATACCATTAGTTTCTATTAAGAATCGTTAATGATTACCTAATTTAAACGCATAATAAATGTAAATCGATATGAATGGTATTGTGTCGTTCCATTTTTTCTCGTTTTGAAAATATATCGGTATGATTGTCGTACGTTTTGTACGTTTTTCAAGTAAATTGCGCCCCCCGGTCCCCCAATAACAATTTTTAATTGTTATTCGTAAATAACAAAGAACGACAGCAGTACACAAAGGAATGTGTATGAGTCCGTTACGCTTTCCCTAATATCTACTTTTTTCATTTTACATCATCATCGGTGTTGAAATATCAGTTTCGCTGTGCATCACTGACTAGTTTCAGTTTCCTTTTTACAGATGTTTCGCTATGACATCTGACACTGGATATGACTCCTGTTGTGATTAATGTCGATGACTCACACGATGGCCTCCACGCAGAGACCCATGGCCTTCTGGTGCCGGTAGCCAGTGATTGTATAGGGAATGCGGGCGCTGGACACCGCTGTGCAACAGCCGGACAGACGGCGACCTGAAAACAAAATTCTTACGGCAATTCCTTTCCAGAGGAAACATTCCAGTAATATATTTGTATTCATGTCAATATTTAAAACGAGCACAGTTATTTACAAAAACAAGCAAGCATTTTCCTTTGCATTTTTCCACATGATAATGTCGTTTCCATTCTATTTACATTAACCTCCTGAGACCACACCCATTCATTTATGTCCATTGTAGTGGGCATTTTGTTTTTGCATCTTTTCACTGATGTAAGGAAACGTATTTATTCCTGTTGTACACTAAAGAGGACATGCTGTGAGATTAAAAATAAAAATTAATTTGAAAAAATCTAAATTGTAAGATGTCATTTCCTCCAAAGACAAATAACCTAAAATTGAAGGACACTTTTTCTCCTTGGGTCTCAGGAGGTTAAATGTATAACACACATATGCCACATATGCGTACATCAAACGGAGGAAGAGCGACTTTTATTTTGATTGTAATGGTAGCGGATCATAAACTCCTCATTGACTCCAGATAGAATAATACCCATCAATGTAATTTGCATAAAGATGCAAAATAAACCGCAAAGTTAATTGAACACGTATATTCCCTCTCGTTGATGTCATAGTATCCAGTATACGTGTATCATTCCCCAGACACTTAAATGTCTCACCCCTAGAACTGTATCATATACAATCTCAATCTAATGAGTATCCCGCAAGGGCATTAATGTAATTTAATTGCAAAAAGTGCTGCACTCACTTTTCTCTCGCTGCGCAAAGCTGCAGGCAGCAAGTGCGATCAGCACCACGATGGTAGCGTAGCGGACCATCTGGCAGCGCGTGAAGGGGCTCTAAAGGCGACGTCGGATTCTGGAAGTCAGTCTGCGAAGTCGCACTGTACCTGCAGTTGTGTCGCTTCTCTAAAAAGAAAAACAAACAGCCGTTTTAAAGCAACGGCGAGCGGCCCCATCATCGCGGAAGCTGCCGTTTACCACGCTTTCTTATCCGTCTATTTTTTGCGCACGGTTTGTCTTTTGCGCACTATTGAAAATATCACGTAGGCGTGTAAAGCGGCACACTGAAACTGAGTAGAGGTTGCATAAAAGTTACTTAAGTGCATAACCAATGCCTCCCCCAGAAAAAAAATTATAAAACACCATCTTGTCCATGTCTTTCATCTTAACGTATTTCAAAAGCACTCGTCATATCTGAAGACGGTATGATTACTCTTAGTGGTTTTCCTTCTGCGCTGAAGCATTAAACCGTATAAGATATCCGTAAACCCAACATAACGTCTCCTACACCCAAACCCGAGTGTCGGCTTTTATGAAACATAAAGGCCAAGGTGAGGCTCCCACCTTTTAAAAGCCATGAATCCAGCACTGTCGCGTTTCTGGGTAACGATCTTCTAAGCCAACGATTCTCAACCTGTGCGTCGCGACCCAAATTTCGGTCGCGAGATGTTCTGAAAGGTTGGAAATGTAAGCATTTTAAAACGAGTAACTACACTGATTCACGATCAGATTTCCCAGCCTAAATCCTAGAATTAACCAATATAAACGGGTCTTGGGTCTGCAATTGCTTAGCGCAAAACTAGTGAATATTCAACCAGTCCAAAAAGCCAAACCGTAGATGCTTAATTTAAAATGCTCTGCCATTCGCGATAGGCATTAATTGGTGTAAATTGCAGAGTGCACTGCGCCCTTGATCATAGCATTCATTTAAACCTATACTTCATAGGGCCTCGACTGAGCTGACATGAAAATTGGGTCGTGGTGCAAAAAGGTTGAAAAACACGGTTTTAAGCAATGGCTCACAGTATCTTTTGTTGTGTATCAGTTTGTTGTGCCTCCAGTGCAGTGATTAAAGCAGCAGGTTTCATTTCACACTCCGGCCGGAAAAATAGCGCAGACTCCCTGCCGCGTGGTAACGGGAGGTGTGAACTCAGCAAAAAAAACATGGTCCGGGGGCGTTGAATTTGGCACGCAGTGTCAGCAAACTGCAGACCCAAAGCTCCTGAAGCTGTGTTTGGGGACGGAACGCAGTGTGAGGCCCTGGACACACCAGCTGCCTGGTAGCTATGGCGCTGAATTGGCTGGCTAGGATCTACACGTTTGTCCAAACAGACATGATTGAAAACTGGAAAACATACTGCTGTTCTACAGCAGTTAAGTTAGTATCAGACACATCATTGGGTAAAGTCTGTCAATAACTGCTGCCCTCTGGTGGTGATGCTGCTGAACACGCTCCATAGCAGAGGTGGGTGAATCCCCATTGTGGTGTACATATTAACGTGCCAGTCTCTCACCTCAAATTTCTGCAGGAATCCACGAAGGTGTTGCTTTGTAAGGGGATGCTTCTGTGTGGCTTTGCATGCTATTTATGCTTAAAAAAGGTTTCCGCTCAAATGCATTTAACGGTTTAAATGTAAAACAGCAAACAAGTACTATATCTTGCCCATTTTTACAACAGGACCCCCCCTGTAGTGTTAATCCACACATTTTAGGTAACAAGAGCCCTTAAATACTATTTCTCCTGCTGGTGGGCACAGGAAGTCATCTGCTGCAGGTACAGCAAAAATCCAGTTGGGTATAAGGACAAAGAGAGGATAATCATTATTATTTATTTAAAAGCAGCTTTAATTCTGTATGATGAAATCAGTAACAAGCGTAATCATTTTTATTTATTTCAAATGTAGCCTTACTTTAATAATGGTGTTATAATAATATGATTTAAAAAGCAAACGTATCCATCAAAAAATGTCTTCATATTCTGGCTGTTAGCTGAGAAGCGGCGACGCAGGGCAGCTCTGGTACGTGAAAAGCGGTGGCTCTTAGCTTCTTGTCCTGGCATCTTTCGTGATCACTGGGACATCTCTGAAGATGGAAACAAACGCAGGATGTGACTTCCAACAGAATGTGGCAAACCCGGCACGTTTCAGAACCACAAGGGATCAGTGTCTGTTTAAATATTTAAATTAAATTAACCTCAATAAAAAATAATAATTTACTCGCATATTCTGAGAGGGACTGAGCGCACAACCTCCTGGTGCCTGACAATGACGCTGTAAAGTAGGGGATTCAGGATGATTTTAAGAGTCCCTGAGTGACAGGGGTCTGGGGCTGAAAATGACATGCTCTCATGGGACCCACAATCAGTAACCGAGTCTGAGGTGCCCATTAAGAGCTTATCTCCACGGCAGCAGGTGACATCGCTTTCTCCTGTTGGGCTGTATCAGTAGGACTGACTGTTGGATGAGCAGGCTGATTAAATAGCCCATTGATCGGTTGGTTACCTTTCATTTTCTTTATCACCCAGCGAGCTTTCGGGTTGGAACAGACCTTGCCCTTTACTGTGTCAAACCTACAAGAGAAGACAAGGATCTGCCAGATGCTCCATCTTTTTTATCTTTTCTGTAAAAATAATGGTCTTGACGGCCATCTAGGGAGTCAGACACAAGCCCAGCAGAGCCTGCAGGGTGGCGGGGTCATGGAATGCCACACTCATGGCTTCTTGCTTGGCCTCATGGTTTCATTGACACTTTACACAGGACGGTGATGCACAAGTCTCCAACATGGCGGGGGTGATGGGACACTCACACGATGGCTTCCACGCAGGGACCCAGGGCATTCTGGCGCTCGTAGCCATAGATATCGAAGAGGATTGGAGCGCTGCTCACCATCTTGCAGCAGGTGGTGGACACTTTGCTTGGGCGGCGATCTGACGGAAAAGGGGGTGAGAGGGATGGTGTCGGGAATTGGAGGAGGTTTCAGACTGGGAGGAAGTCCATCCTGCCTCTCTGAAGGCATCTCAGCACATCTGTACCACGGGTAGGCAGCCCTGGTCCTGCAGTGCCGGTATCCAACAGGTTCTCTATCCTACCAGGAGTACCTACCTCTGCTCTGTACGGATACAGATCTGGCCCCACGACACTACTATCCATTGCTCACTTTAAATAACATTATAAACAGAATTAATCAGAATAATACACTGCCATATTTTCACATTCCAGCCATTACACTTCTCACTGTCCTTTTAAATTCCAGACTAATCTGTTACCCAGGCAACCCTGTACCGGATAAGCGATTGGACAATCCATGGAGGGACTGATCTGTCGCTTGAACCCATACTGACAGCACAGGAAAGTACAGTAATAACCATCCAACCATCCTCCAACTGCATATATATGGAGTACCATAATAACTGTGTAATTAAATATTGGCATTATAATTTAGATTTATAATTAAATTTATATTTACATGTATTCCTATATTTATATTTATTCCTTAAACTTTCTTTAGCTTGTATAGCTTGTATATTACTGAGGCTTCTATAGAAGGATCCAAATGTCATCTCATTGTGTTTGTACAGTGACAATAAAGATATCTTATGTTATCTCATCTCATTTCATATTATGATGTCTTATAATTTTATGCAGAATAGTTCACACTTGTTGCTGAACATGAAATAATCTCAGTCACTATTGGGAAATGAAATACTCCTAATTATTAAAGATCGTTAGTGTTTGATAGTAAAATATCTCTGACACACATAGAGCCAGCCTGCAGATCCTCATGCCTGCATTTATACAAGCTGCATAAAGTCGATATCACAGTAAAATAGTGCCTCCCTAAAGATGAACTTGCCCTCATTTGACGGCCGGCTCACTCACAGTCGTCCTGCTTGGTGACGCTGACAGCCAGCATCAGCAGAACTGCGATCTGACACATCAGGCGAGACATCTTTTGGTTTGGGCTGCTCCGGGGCTTGTTGGTCGACCTTGGAGGGAGACTAAGTGCACACTGCAGTGCAGCCTCAGCGCGGGGCTTTTAAATGCACTGTGTGATGCCACAGGAAATACGAGGTGTGCCCCCCGCAGACAAACTAACCGCAGCCTGAGCTACAAGATGGCGTCTTTGTGATTACAGCGACTGAGCATCTCACCAGAGATATGATGCGATATATGATTCATACAGCGACTGAGCACCAGCACAGAAAACATAGGCGACATAACCCCAGCATTCTTCCATCACTGACACCACTCAGGCCATTCTCCCCCTGACCTCTAGATGGCGCTACAACTGTCTCCTAGCCCAAACCACGATGCTTAGAACAGGTTTTCCCCCAGAATTACCAAACAGGTGAACTCCTTTTAGCTCCCGCTATGCCTAGTAGAAACAAAGGGCTCATCAAACTTGGCACCACCCTTTGGAGTTCACACAAATGTGTGTTCCATTGCATGCTTGCTTATAGAATGATTATATAATTTCACTCTCAGCAATAGTGACTATTTTGGCCATGTAGCACAGCGCTGAGAAGGCTGCATGTGTAAACACACACATGCACACACACATACACGTGCAAACTCACATGCACACACACACACACATATGCACACGCATGCACGTACACACACATGCACACACGCACGCACATACACACATGCACACGCACATGCACACACACACATACATATATAGACACACGCATGCGCACACACACATGCACACACAGACACATTTATGCGCACACACACACACATATGCACACACACGCACAAACACACACACACACACACGTCGGGTAAACATATCATTATGGGGGCCGCTTATTCATTTCTATGGGAAAAACACTAAGTATGACAAACTTAACCCCAACCCAGTCCTAACCATAACCATAAGTAACCAAGCAAAAACAGTTTTTGCATTTTTAGTTTTTTCATTGCAGTCACGGATTCTTATAAAAGAAAAGGTAAAGTATAACCACTCACGCACACACGAGGTAGCAGTTTCGTGCGTTTGGATGTTTCTGGAGCTTAGATGTTGTTAGATTGTGGTAGAGGTTTTATGAAATCTTATGGCTGTTGCATCAGTCACTTGTCAAACAGGTGGGGGGGCTGTGTTTTCAGAAATATATGATTACAAAATGTTTGACTTGTGAATTAAGTCTTCAGCAAGTTTATAAGTGCAGAACAACCCCCCCTCCAGCTAAACAGCAGTCAAAGCAAGGTGCACCCCAGGTCTGAGGGGTATTAGTGCAATCATTTGGATGCATGCTGAGTTTTTGACTTAAGGGGGGAGAAGCTGTATGATCTGAAACCTCTTTGGTGAGATGGGATCTGGTGAACAGCAGCATAAGAAAGATGCA